TGAAGAAAAATATATGAAAAGAAAAACTTCATTTAGAAAAAGGTTTAAAAAAGAATAAGATATGCATGTCTGAAAGGATCTTTTAATACCGCATAAAACGCCTTTTGCATCGTACCAACAATTTTTACTGATATTTTTTTCAATTTCCAGATTTAAGCTTCTATATCTTTTCATTCATTATAACGCTCTGCTCTACGCTAACATCATCAGAACAAACAGTTAAAAACAAAAAAGAATTCTTTCTAATACTTTTTCAGAAGCTTAAAATAAAAAATTTACATCTCACTTGAAAAAAAGAAAGGAAAGATTGAAAAGTCTGGGAAACTTACTTTTTCCGCAACCATTTGTAGCGGAAATTCCTCAATCCCTTCCTCAAATGACTTTCCTTTGTACGATAACCTGGAATCCATTTGAGACTTAGAATATTTCATTCCGTACTGGAGCCCTTCAACCCTCGTTTCGAATCCGGCATCAAGCACAGCTTCCGGTCCCTCATAACGTACATCCTCTTGTTTTCCAGAACCACCTGGAACTACTGACTCTTCGTACAGTGTGCTATCCTCCTTATTCTCTGCCGTTCCAGAAGTACTCAGCTTTCTGAATGATGTATCTGGCTCTTCATCGATCTTTGACATCTGCGAAACTGAAACTAACAGCTCAGACCAAAAAAAAACCAAACAAATTTCTGTCTACGTAATAACCAGAATTGAATTGCAACAAAATTTTTACTTGTCTCGGTCATGAAATTCACAAAAGGCCTAAATAACAAGCTGAAAACGTACCACTCATGTACTATAAAACAGATGAAAAACTAAGTACCAACTTCTTCAATGAAAATGACATAACAGCAAATCATATTGGTTAGTATAAAACAAGAACTGAACCTTCATAACCCAGTCTCCCGGATCTTCTAGAGTCACCGCTACCAGGTTCACGATCTGCTGATAAGTTCCGCCTCATACCCCTAACGTAGGAAAGTTCTAAAATACAAATTCCACAGTTAATCATCACTTAACATCAAAACACCAATTCGATTAGAAAAAAGGAAACCATGAGATCCAAGGCTTAGCGAGGCAGCATCCGTTCCAGATGTCGTAGATGAACGAAAAGCAGAAAGGTTCTTATTTGGCTGCATAACAACCGGAGCAAAGCTCATTGATGAAGATCTTTCACGTTGAACGGTGGACATGGAAGGCTGTCGTTTGAGAATATGCCTAGTAGTTCCCCTGCAATGCAACAGTAATATTATGAAGATAGAGAGAGCTTCGATTAAAAGTCGTACAAATCAAAAAAAAATTTTTTATTAAGATGCCTCCAGAACTTGCAGTTTTTACACCGTATCAGATAAAGGACAAACCTCTGAACAAAGAAGGAAACTCCATCCCATGTCATTTTGGCTACACTGTCACGGCGTAATAACCTCTCCTTCCCAGCATTGTCCACAGACAAGCTTCTACTAATTGGGTGAGGCATCTGAACTGCTAGGAATACTTCAGTATCAAAGTTAAGGAACCAAATCACAACACAACAGAAAATACCAAGAAACAAGATGCCGACCAAAGCATGCTTACTATTCAAACAAAAACATACCACTGCTTGAAGCAGATAAACATTTCTGTCTAAAACGGAAAGCTATGAAACAAAAGTAGTAATTAAAGACAAAAAAAGTATCAGTTAAAACAAGATAAAAAGCTTTTTAACCATAAAACGACAGACCTGCGGTCTAGCAGTATCCCCGTCTGCCTGCAAAACGAAGTGCCTTTCTGGAACGACAGCCGTAGGCGTGGTAGCTAATTCCATTGAAACATCGATATTGTCATACAGGCCTTGAACATTTACCGTCACATATAAAAACAGTAGCATAATCCACATCTAATTTTATATACAAAAAATAGTAACCTTCACTTCCTAACTCCCTTTGTGCCTCTTCCTCTTTGCACCCGCCATAGCGCGAATATCTCCGATTAATATACCTTAAACGTCGTCGTTTCCACTTCAGCTCGGGATCTGTTATAGAGATCTGCCTTTCCAAAGGCACTTTATACGGAGTAACACCAAAAAATTTAGCTGCATTATTCGAAATTCTCTCCGAACCGTTTGAAACCACCGATTTACCGAATGATATTACGTTCCTTACGCTAAATAATGGAACTTATGGAGCTGTTTTTTACACTCGGCATAGCTTTTGAAACATAAAGCAAGTTTCTTAAGCGAAAAAGAATCGGATTCTGTAACTTTTATTATAACTACCCTTTTCGAAACCTCTTTCGCATAAAACATTGAATAATGTGAGCCATTTTAAAAACAACTTTTCAATTTACTCTAAATTAAGATCTACAATAAAATAAACCTATTTAACCGCTGCAGCTTAGGACGTTCTCGCTGACTTCCCGTGAAATCGTTGCTTAGCGATTCTTCATTTTGCTGTAATACAAACAGGCCAGTCAAAAAAAAACTGCAGGGACGTTACAGTGAACCAACGCGAAAACAGGAAGTTTAAATCAGGCCGGATGAAATTAAAGAGTCAGTAAAGGAATCAAAAGCTTATCAAATACATCAGTTACCAATTCTGTAACTGCAGTCGACGCTGGCGTACTTAAACTTGATACCAGTAATGAACGTCGTCCATCAGTCGGATAGGCATTTTCGTCACCGTCACGAACAATCCGAATTGAAAACGAACTCTGTTCGCCAGCTTTACGCAACAACGGATTTCGGTTATGCATACCTCTACAGTATGTGAAAAAGAGCTTGAAATGAGAATTTTTTTTTATCGAAACGGAGAACGCAAAAGAGAAAAATTCAAGAAAAAAAGCAGCAGCTTCAAGCGGAGAAAAGACAGTGTGCGTGTTTCTTAATTTGTTGTTAACAAGTATAAGTTTGATGTACCTGTGCAGAAAACGTCAACAACAGCACCAACGATCAACCTAACCGTTAACAATAACTACAAATGGTACTGATCAAGCTGGCTACAATCAAAAACAATCACCAACCAACAGGTAAAAAATACCATAAGTTCAATAACGACTGCTCTTAACACCGTATCATTGCCTAATCTAAACGGCAGTTACGAAACTGATTTTGTGAAGGATATACAAAAAGAAAGAGAA